GTGGACCTGGGAGTATGGTCCCTACACCCGGACATTTTTCATCAGCTTTGTCTTCACTGGGGGTCGCCGGATGTGGACCTTCTCGACGCAACCGGAAGGTAGAGAGATCGTAGCCCGGGCTCTGGATCCCGGGGCGGTGGCAGGGGATGCCCTACTGGCTCCCTAGAAACCTTACGGTCTGATTTTTGCCTTTCCTCCACTGTACCTGTTGCCTCGGCTTCTGCGACGGATCGCGACTGAACACGTTACCGTCATCCTCGTGGCCCCAGTCTGGCCTCGGAGAGCGTGGTACGCGGACTTGGGGACCTGTGTTCCATCCTTTTACAGTGGCTGGCTTTGACGGCGTGGCTGTTGAGAGCCAGGTCCTGAAGGACTGGGGGTTGTCTGATGCGGTCATTTCCACGATGCTCAGAGCGAGCAATGCAGTTCTAGGAAGATTTACCATCGCACGTGGAGGGCCTATTTTGCCTGGTGTGAGGCTGGGGCTCTGTCTCCGCGTTTGTTCTCAATCAGCAGAGTTCTTGCTTTTTTGCAGCGCGGGGTGACTCGGGGGTTGGCCTTGAGCACGGTGGAGGGCTAAATTTCTGCATTGACTGTGCTTTTCCAACGGCCCTTGGCGTCTAATGCCTTAGTTCGCACTTTTGTTCAGGGGGTTACGCGTGTTGCTCCTCCTGTCCGCTCGCCTTTTAGCGCCGTGGGATCTGCAGCTGGTGCTTTCGTTGTTGCTGGAATCTCCTATTGAGCCTCTATGGGAGATTCCGCTTCTGTTCTTGTCACAAAAAGTAGCCTTTTTGGTTGCCATCACTTCCGTTCGACGGGTGTCTGGGTTGGCTGCCTTGTCCTGCAAGTCACCGTTGCTGGTTCTTCATAGGGACAAGGCGGTTCTCCGTCCTAAGCCGGCCTTTCTGCCTAAGGTTGTGTCGGCGTTGTGTCGGCGTTCTGAATGAGGACATTCTCTTGCCTTCTCCGTGCCAGAAACCGGTTCATGGGAAGGAAAGAGCGCTGCACTGTTTGGATGTGGTTCGCACTCTTCGTATTTCTTTGGAAGCTCCGGCTTCTTTCCGTGAGTCAGATTCCTTGTTTGTGCTCACAGAGGGCCCTCGGAAGGGCCGGGCCGCATCGGTGGCTACCATTTCTCGGTGGATTCATAATGTTGTTATTCAGGCGTATGCCGTTAAGGGGTGTGAGCTTCCTTTCCCTGTCACTGCCCATTCTATTAGGGCTGTTGGGGCTTCCTGGGCCTTCCGTCATGGGACCTCTGTTTCTCAGGTTTGTAAGGTTACATGGTCTTCTGTTCACACCTTTTTTTGTTAAGTTTTAGAAGGTGGATGTTTTGGCATCGGCGGATGCAGGCGGCTCTTTGAGGAGACCTTTGGGTGTTTGGTTGTTGTTGCCGCCCAACCTCAGTTTGTACTACTTGGTGACGTCCCTACCATTCAGAATCTACGATCTGTTGCCCTGTGTCCTTCAATGAACGGGAGAGAAAATAGGATTTTTGTACTCCGGGTAAAATCCTTTTCTCTCCGTTCATTGAAGGACACAGGTCCCGCCCTCTTTTATGGGTTGTACACTCCTAACTGCTTGTTACTTACTGGAGGCCACCAGCAGGGGCCGCCCCTAGGCTGTCTTTGTCTTTTTGTTATATGCCAAACGTCCTTCTCTTGCAGGTGGCGATATACCCTACCATTCAGGATCTACGATCTGTTGCCCTGTGTCCTTCAATGAACGGAGAGAAAAGGATTTTACCCGGAGTACAAAAATCCTATTTTCCCGAAGCTAAAGACAGAGAGTCTAAAAATACATTTAATCTTAATAAGCTGTTATTTTCTGACTTGAGATCATCTTTAAAATGTCCCATGGGAGACAAATATCTGTGGAAAAACTTCTGATCATAGGATTGGGACTCTTGCGGCTTTTGATTCTTATAAAACCAGTCCTCTCAGAATTAATTTGCTGTTGAACCTTAGAGTGTGGCTTGTTTTTCTGTAGTCACAGGGTTTATCGCAGTGCAGTTATCTCTGCTCAGATTTCAGACCACCAAGCAATGTATGGAGTGGTACAATGTTGTTTACAAGGGGCTGCAGGAGACTGGGTACTACTTATTTCTATTCTAGGAGGGTTCTGAATGATAACTCAGGAGGGCTGTTTTAGTGAGTTCTGTTTAACAAGGTCAGGGTTGTTGGTATACAGTAAGATTTTTACTTTGTGTGTTTTCTAATTACCAAAACATCTAGCTAAAAGGCCTTTGACAGCTTTAATTTAAAATATTTCCTGACTTGGGACACCTTCTGCTATATTTTAGAGGTTATTCTGTTAGTCATGACTTCATACAGCATGTTTATGATCTGGAGTACAAACATGGTCAGGTCAGAGTCCAAAATCATGGCGTGGGCAAAAGCTTTTCCAACACGCTTAGAACAATACTGTAGATATGTATTGCTAAAGTGTAAAATATCATTATTACATTTCCTGAACTTGTTTATTTTTGTAGCCCATGGACATGAACAGTTCAGCTGAGGACCCCTTGTATCTGAGCATGGACCCATCACTCCAGCAGAATGAAGACATCCACCAAACCGCTTTTCAGGGTTGTTCTCAAAATATGTCTCTCTACAGTCCCACCATAGAGAATTTTCCTATCCCTGAATCCCCACTGCTTCAGCTCTCCTCTCATAACTCCACTGACCTGAATTCCACTTTTGGTTTTACAAATTTTTCTGGAATTCTGTTTCCTTCACTGCAAAATAGTACAGCTAATGTAACAGCCACTAATGTCCTGCAAGATCCACTTAGTGGAATCTTGGATGAAGCTTTGCTGGATGAAATTAGCCTTATGGAGCTAGCAATGGAGGAAGGATTCAGCCAAATGCAAGCCTCACAGCTTAAAGAAGAACTAGATTCAGATTCTGGTCTATCTCTGGATTCTCACCGTAGTCCAGTGTCTCCTAGTGGGTCTGAGACATCATCTTCCTCTTCTTCCTGCTCATCCTCTTCCTCTTTCTCTGAAGAAGGAGCAGTAGGATACAGTTCTGATTCTGAGATGGTGGAGCCTGAGGAGTCAGAAGAATCCATTGATTACCAGCCGGAATACAGCAAGTTCTGCCGAATGAGCTCTGAGGACCCTAGCCGATTTCAGCGCTTGCTATTTCTTGAGCATGTTGGGCACAATCATACTTACAATATGGTTCCTGAAGAGCCAGAGGAGCAACCGCAACCTGCAGTGGCAAGAGGCAACAGAAGAACTTCAGGGTTTGAAGACAGTCAAGCAGGAAGAGATGAGCAAAGGGCAAGAGCTATGAAAATTCCTTTTAGTAATGATAAGATTATTAACATGCCTGTAGAGGAATTTAATGAGCTGCTGACCAAGTACCAACTTACTGAGGCACAGCTTTGCTTAGTGCGAGATATTCGCAGGCGAGGAAAGAACAAGATGGCAGCTCAGAACTGCCGCAAGAGAAAACTGGACACAATTTTGAACCTGGAACAAGAGGTGAAGCGTTTAAGTCGACAACGTAACTCTCAGTTAAGAGAAAAAGGAGAAAACTTGAGATCACTCCAGAGAATGAAGCAGGAAGTAGAAAGCCTTTATCAGGAAGTGTTTAGCCAGCTTAGAGATCAGGAAGGGCGGCCATACTCTCCTCAAGGATATGCCTTACACTACACCAACAATGACAACATAGTACTCATGCCACGCAATGCAGAGGGCCAACAAAGCCGACGTTCAGAGAGGAAGGACCGGAGGAAGTGATGTATCTGTATTTGAACTCTGGAATCTTACAGGACAGCGGGTGTGGGCTGTGCTTTCATTCAGGCCTTTGTATCAAACCTTTCACATAAGACTGACCCCATTAAGTGATGAGGTAGATGTCGACACATATTGAGGGCCAAGGGCTTTGTCCTGTCTGTATCTGAGCCCTAGTCTGTCCAGGAATGAGGAGGAGGCCAGCTGGGCCTGCGGACAGAAGAATGCCCAGGCAACATAAGCTTCAGCTGATAAAGGGAGGTTGAAAACCATTTTCCTTTTAGTTCTTGATCCTATAATGTCTAAAATTGTAGGTAACAATGTCAGGAATTGAAGAGTTAGTTTGCATGGGAGCCCAGCTTGTCCTTCTGAATGGACATTTGGGCACAGTGGTGTAGGATTGTCTCTGTAGTGTATGAAGTGATTTGGGTTAAGAAGCCTTACTGAAATTGTCTGGACTCCTGAGCCTCATAAAAACAAAGCCAAAGTTCTGACTGCCAGAGGTTTCTTTGGGAAGTGGTTGTTATATTGAATACGTTGCCTTCCTTGTGTTCACATTTATGGAGCTCAGAGATTCCTGGCAATTCCTTTGCAACCTTGAAAGATTAGTAAGTCATTTTTTAATTCTGCACTTCAGGTTTTACCACGTTTTAAAAGATGTTTAAACCCCAAATTGCCAGACAGGGCATGACCTGATCACACCAAGTCCATGTGCCAGTGGTTGCAGCATCCAGAAAAACCCGTGGAACAGGGTAGGATGGTGTGTCTGTACTATGAATTCTTACGTCGATTAGCAGGAATTGTTATCGGAGGGATTAGCAGTCAGTAACTGAATCCTTTGCTCATTCTATAAAATTCATGTGATCAGTTAAGTTTTTAGAGCTTGCCGAGTGTGATTAACTATGCACGTTCCATAATACATCATACTGGAACTAGAACAGCAATGTATGGAAGGCTTTTAAAAACAAAAAATTAGAATAAACTGATTTTGTGATAGACTCTCTAAACCAAATACTGTGTTTTCAGTTTTTTGTTTTGTTTTTTCTTTAACTACACAGCGATATAGATAGACCTTCTTTTTTTTTTTTTTTTTTTTTTTTTAAATATCTGAAGGAAAAAACATTAATCAATCTGTTGCTGTGACTTTATTAAGGGCCTGGGTCAATGGTTTTTATTCATGCCAGAAGTGCTTTTAAGTCTATAGGAAGGCAGACAAGCTTGAAATAGACTAGAAGAAGGTATACTGAAGATCAAAATAATTCTTAATGATCTCAGACAAGTCTCAAATTGATGTCAAATGAGAGCTGCATTTGGCTATCCACAAAAGCCCAAAGCCTGTCAAGACAGGCCCTTAAACGGATTCTCTAGCTTTTAAACATAATTAAATTTTTTGTTTGAATATAAGATTTGAATTAGTCTCTGCAGGCTCTGGAAAAACTGCCAATATGGGTTACCCTGTTTTAAGGAACATCTAGTTCCAAGCACCATGGCCTGTAGTCTCCTAGCTTTGTAAACAAGTTGTTCCTTCAGCTTAATGGAGAGCAGATCTCATATCTGGAATAGTATGCACGAACAGTGGCTGTGAGAAGCGTGAACGCAGATACTACAAGCTGTATAGGATTGGTGGTGTTAAAAGGTCAGTAAAAGGTCATATTGAAATTTTACTCTGTTGCAGGAGAAGTGCCAATACAAAGATTGATAGTTAAAGAACACTTATCCTTTAAAAAATCGAGTGACTCAATCCATGCTACTTTAAAAGTATAATAAATGAAGGCAGCTGCGTTTAGGTCCTCTTTTATTATACTATTATTTAATCTATTTATGCATACTAGACTTCACAGAAAAAATAAGTAAAACTTTCTTATTCCCAGGTCTGGTGATGGTTTAAGGTATTTTAAAAAATCAAATTTAGAAGTATATTTTTTTCCCCAAGGTGGCGTTTTGCTTCTTGAGTGTTCTGCAGCAAAACCTAAAAAAAAGTAAGTGGCAAAAGCTAGCTAAATTGAGAAATTACACTCAGCAGTGTGGCCATATGTGCCAAGCATAACAATGGGAAGGTTTTTCTTAGCCTCTGCTTGTAACTAGTTTGCAGAGATGTCTGACTTCCAGCCCTGGATGCGTACGAGAATTTGATAATGGTGTCGGTGCACAGGTAGTGAATAATTCTGCTTAAGAATACATAGCCTAATGCAGAAGCATCAAATGTGGCATTTTTTTTCCTATGCAACATAAGGAGAAAGCTGACTAGCACTAAAACCAGTTTTAAAGCGGACCTTTACCCCCTTCACTTAAAATCACATCAGCATGCAGCTCTTCATGCTAATATAAAAAAAATCTTACATCCATTAAACATACTTTTTTTGTTTTTGCTTACACTTTTTTTCCATTCCCTGGTTGAGTGAGGCACTGGTGATGTAGCCCTGGACTCACAGATACATCCTGGGAAATCTATATCACCAGTGCCTTGATGGGAACTCAGCTGTAATTGCAAAATCTCATGATCTTGGGTAAATGACATATTTTCCTCCTTCAGGTGCTGTGAACTGTCACATTTTCTACTAGGCAGAGCCAGAGTTCCAGGAAGTAAAGGGAGAGGATGCCTTTGTTGTCAGCTTTAAGATCAGTAAAGTTGCTTTTAATTTTTATTTATACTTTTTTCAATATAATTTGCCAATCCAGAACATTTAAGAGCATCGTAAAAGAGCATACAGGGCGAGCAGTACCATAAGAGGAATGACATATAAAAAAATAACAAATGGTACGTAAAGATCCTTTTTACAGAAAATATAAGAGCAGACCTGCTTTAACTAGTACTCCCCTATTTAAAAACATATGGTACTCCTTCCCAGGGCATCTGCAAAAAAGGAGAATATATTTTAGGATTGCACCTTTTTATAGACACAAGCAGCAAAAATCAAACTAAAGGGTTATGGCGACAAAAAAACATTTAGGAGGTTATTCACTAAGCTCCCGTCCCGAAGGCAGCTGATTGAATAACCAAACTGAACGTCGTTCTGATATTCACTTCAGCCCTGTACATCCGAGGGCTTGGTATGGTGAGGGGAGAACACGCTCCTCCTCACCCTTTCCTGCCAGTCCAGTGCCCAGATAAAGGGCTTGTTCACACCATTTCTAGTGCGTTCCAGCACGATTAGCTGCTGGAATGCACTGGATAGCATCCTGGGCGGCTCCCTGTGTTGTGGGATAGGGCTTGGCGGTGCTTTCAAGTAAATGGCACCGGAGCCACACACCCCTGCCCGCAGCAAAAATGCTGCATGCACTAAACTTAAGTTATTTAGTTTTTTTATTTTTTTTTACATTTTCTGGCGGTGGGGTTCCACTTTAAAATTCCTACCAGACCTAAAGGGCCTGGTATGATTTTTGGGGGGGAATCCCACACATTTCTTTTGGGGGGCCTTCCTACCAGACCTAAAAGGTATGGTTTGGAAGGGGGACCCCACGCCATTTTTGTTTACATTTACGTGAAGAATGGTCTGTTTCGGCTCAGCCAAGCTGAATGCATATTTGGCTCGGCTGACTTACAGTCCATACAGCAGTTCCCGCTGCCGAAGCAAACCAAAGGATTAGCAGAACCTATGGCTATATCCTTCAGCTTTTAAGTTAATAACCCCCTTAGAGGTTTGCAGTTCTGTGTTCAATTGGCTAGTAAACAAGAATGCCAGTATGAAGTGTTGTGAAGAGTTTTCAGTTATTAGGAGTATTGGGAGTTTATCAGAACCGGAGATTTTTCACATTATGGTACTAATGTCGTTTCTGCCATTTTCCTCTCCAGTAGAGGCAAATACTGCCCAGAGCTGCTTCGAAGCTTCTTATAATGCAAACTTGTCTGCCTTTTTAAAATTGATTCAGGTTGCACTCATTTAGTAGGGAGCTAAACTCAACCTAGAAGTGAAGTCCCACTAACATGCATCCCCATTATCTAATAACGTGCACCTCAATAGTCTATAGAGGGGTTCTCATTGGCTAGGATCAAGGTAAGCGGGTGAAACAAAGACTGTTTATGAAGGCTGACAGATTCCTTTAAAGGAAACCTGTTGTGAGAAAAATATGGGGGTTCACAATCCTGACATTTCTTTTGAAAATGCTAGTTGCGTGGTTGTCATGCCAATGTAATGGCTTCAGTATTTCCTGAATTACTAACCTGACAAAAGAATGCAGCTTAGGTGTGCTCTCCGCATTCATCATGGGTCAGTAATAGCATTTTTAGAATAAGATGAGCAAAAGCAGCATACATAGTCTGTCACAGGAGCATAATTTTACTCGTACTCTATAAGGCATTAGCATCCCTGGACTAAAGAAAAAACAAAGTATAATAAAAAATAATTTAGAAAAAGGGAAATAAAAATATCAAAAAGGGAAAATAATCCATTGGTATTGTGTACCTGCAGTAGAAGCAGAATTTTGTTTTGTATGATATTGTGCCAGAAGAAATTGATCCCATTTGCCACTGGAAAGTTATGTACTTACTTATGTACTGACTTAGTGACTCCAGAGCAGGTGCCAGGACTTCCCCATTCAGTCACATTACAGCAAGATAGAAGATTCAAGCTGTTATGGGAAAGCGTCTGCTGCAGGTATGTGGCTTGTGTGTAAGCAGTGAATGTATTGTGTGTCAAGCGTGTATCCGCCCAGATAGCGGTAGCAGCTGACACTTGTAATTTCATCCTCCAGTTTACTACCTCCTGATCAGCGTGTGTACCATCACCCACACACATAGCAGAGGTAGCCAGGCCCCAGAAGCTGGGGAACTAACTAGGAGCATTATATTAAGTCCACAAAATGACACCTTTCATTGTGTAACGAAAGGCCACACATGATGCAATATATCAGTGACCATTATTTATTTGTTCCTGAAGTTTACTATCTCTTAGTGTTTTCAGCATTTGGAAGACGCAACCTTTCTAAGTCCCTATAAAAAACATTTGACTGTGCTGCCTAATGTTAGAATGAAACTCTGCACTGTGTAGTGATCAATTACAGATGGAACCCCTTCATTATATTTACTGCATAGATTTACACTATTTTATTAAAGAGCAGCATTGCAACTAGAATCACTCCCTGAACAATATAAGGATAAGATCTTTGGGATGTATAGATACAATGTTTTGCATTAAATTTTTTTTGTAAGTACATTTTTTTTATTGACCTTTTCAGACCATGGCAATGCAAAGTAAATCTTTAAAGAAGAACTCCGGGGAAATTATTGTTAACTCCTGCATTGGGGCTACCCCCCCTCACTCATTGGGTTAAGTGCTCGTTTGTGTCATGTAAATTAATGTCTATGTAAATTAAAAAGTTATACTCCCCTTATCCTCTGAGATGGCTTGCTCTTAGGCAGATCCCTGGAGCCTCCCTCCCCACAAATGCTCAATTTGATTGAGATCTGGTGAT